GTAGTTGATTTTTGTGTCCCTTTGCTGATTCCGTATTATCTTTTAATTCCATTTTTCCACAAACTTTTTGAAGTCCCCTTATGTATAGTAGTCCCCACTTAGCCATGGGGGATATGTTCCAAGACCCCCCAATGGATGCCAGAAACCACAGATCGTACTTAACTCTACACAAACTATGTTTTTTCAATCTGATAACCAAGATAGCTACTAAGTGACTAATGGGTGGGTAGCACATGCAGTGCAGATACACTGGACAAAGGGACAATTCACGTGGTAGGCGAGATAGGGAGGGACGAAGTGAGATGTCATCACCCTATTCAGAACGATACGCCATTTAAAACTTATGAGTTGTTTATGTCTGAAATTTCCTATTTAATATTTCTGGACTGCATCTGACTGCAGGTAACTGAACCCATGGAAAGCAAAACAATGGACAAGGGAGGACTACGGTATGAGTAAAATGATTCTAAGTGGGTAATTTGTCATTTCAGTGGGAAAAGATCCAAAAGGATAAAAATCTGCCAACAACTAGTACTTATACCTATGGCTTCTACTATGCCAAGAAATTATATATATATATTATCTTTAAACCTTACAGCCACCTAAAAGATATTTATTATCATTTTCTCTACAGCTCAAAAAACGTTGTACTGAATAAAGAAAAAAACTGAAGCTGGGCCAATGTTACACTGTGATTTTTGTGACAGAGCCAGGAACTGCGTCCTCATGTGTGAAACTCCAAAGCCTGCAACTTGGTGAAGGAATGGAAATTTTCAGTTGCTCCCCAGTGGAGGTGACAGAGTATAATTCTTGCCCTTAGGGGCTTTTGGATCTTATGGGCACATTTTCTTATCCGTGGTATTGAGTGTTTTTACTACTCATTCCTACCCCACTCTCAAACCTGATCCCAAGTACTTTCACTGCCATTAATATACAAACCCCGCCCTCTGCAAAATAAGATACCCCCCCTCCGCAAAATAAGATATACAGAAGTTATTAAGAGTCATTGGGTTATCTATTCTTTATGCTTTCCAGGTGAAGTAAAAATCCTAAAAAATTATCTCCTCCTAGTCTACACAATGACTTGAGAGNGTGAAGGAATGGAAATTTTCAGTTGCTCCCCAGTGGAGGTGACAGAGTATAATTCTTGCCCTTAGGGGCTTTTGGATCTTATGGGCACATTTTCTTATCCGTGGTATTGAGTGTTTTTACTACTCATTCCTACCCCACTCTCAAACCTGATCCCAAGTACTTTCACTGCCATTAATATACAAACCCCGCCCTCTGCAAAATAAGATATACAGAAGTGATTAAGAGTCATTGGGTTATCTATTCTTTATGCTGTCCAGGTGAAGTAAAAATCCTAAAAAATTATCTCCTCCTAGTCTACACAATGACTTGAGAGATTACTTACCAATAACAATGCCACCAATGGCTCCAGCATTTTGGATATTGCGTGCCTTTTCTGCAAACATGCACTGTCCTCTTTGTATCAAGGCGATTTTTCCCATCACTGCCTCAGGGTTGGTAAGCTCTGAACAACCATTGTATGGTTTACTGCTTGCAACAAATCCTCTTGTCTGTCAGAAATAAAAGCAACTTAAATATTCTCTTATCTTCTCAAATTGCAATTGAGTTATTAAGCCTAAATATCTAGAGCTTTAAGGGAACCCAAACTCATTCTTTTCTAATGGTAACATAGCCAATATATATTTAGCATAAGTTTTAGTTTTAAACATTTTGCGTATCACATATTCAACCAA